TTTGTTGCACAAATTTATAAATAAAACCTTTAAAAAATTTTTTTAAAAGAACAACATAGGATTATGTATAACCCAGGAACACCACCCCAGTTTTCCCAGGCACAAGTACATGACCAAACCTGTCGAGACAGATGGCCATGCAGCTTCTGAATGATGATAATAATAATAATGACAAAGTTCTGTTCCTGGCTTGAAAGCATTCATTCCTGTTTAATAGTGCAGTCCTGGCTTTGAAAGCAGTGGTCCTACTCCTCAAACCTAGTTTGCGTGCCATTAAACGTGTAGAGGACCAAGTTTCTCTTGCCAGGACAAAGTTTTCTCACTCTAGTCAACTTTCACCATCTTTTTGGGAGAAAAGCAATGAGTAACAGATATTTATCACCCAGAAACAAAACCCGAATGAACAATGAGCATATTCACATTTGAACATTTGAAAAAAAGCCAAATTTTCAGGTGGACATCCCACAGCGGCCATCTTGCAGGTTTCGAAATTCCATAACAAAACGGCAAGTCTGGATGTCACAGGCAAAAATACTGGGACCAACAGGTCTGTGTGCAGAATTGAGAGCAGGTCCCGGGATTTTTTGCCCCTTATGGAAAACCTGCAATTTGGTGCTGTCTGGAAGCGCCCTAAGTTACTACACACAGTACTGAAAAGGTAAACTACTGGTGGTGACAAAAGGTCTGTGTATGCCACCTGGAGAACAGGTAGGACATAAAGGGAAATTTTTAAAAAACGGAACTGGCACCTGTGTCAATCTTGGCAAACAAAAGTATTGTGTGGACTTGTTTACTTCCTCTTTCTATCTCATTACATTTGCATTCCCAAGTTGCTTCTGGTTGCTTCTGGTGGGAATCCCACTGGAGAATTGTAGCACACCCAAATACCTGGGAGTTACCCTGGACTGTGCTCTGACCTACAAGAAGTATTGCTTGACTACCAAACAAAAAGTGGGCGCATATAGAAGCTGACTGGCACAACCTGGGGACCACAACCAGACACAGTGAAGACATCTGCCCTTGCGCTTTGCTACTCTGCTGCTGAGTACACATACCCAGTGTGGAACACATCCCACCATGTTAAAAAAGTGGACGTGGCTCTTAATGAGACATGTTGCATTATCACAGGATATCTACGCCCAACACCACTGGAGAAATTACACTATTTAGCCAGTATTGCACCACCTGACATCCATCGGGATGTAGCAACCAATACTGAAAGGACCAAGGCAGTGACATTTCCGGCCCACCCCATTTGGATATCAGCCAGCACACCAATGTCTTAAATCAAGAAATAGTTTTCTAAGATATACAGAGATACTCACAGGAACACCTCAGCAAGCAAGAGTCCAAAAGTGGCAGGCTAAAACCCAGAACCTCAACCCATGGCTGATAGTGAATGAGAGACTCCCTCCTGGGCACACAGAGGACTGGGCGACTTGGAAGGCACTGAACAGACTGTGCCCTGGCGTCACGAGATGCAGAGCCAAACTTAAGAAATGGGGCCACAAAGTGGAGTCTACGACATTCGAGTGTGGAGAAGAGCAAACACAGACCACCTCCTACAATGCAACCTGAGCCCTGCCACAAGCACAATGGAGGACCTTCTTATAGCAACACCAGAAGCACTCCAAGTGGCCAGTTAGTGGTCAAAGGACATTTAGTATAATGCCAAGTTCTTAAACTTTGTGTTCTTTAAAAATACATTACAATTGTACCTTCGGTTCACTTCTGATACGATAAATATATATGAACATTGGGCACATCTCTGATTTGTACCTTCCCCAAATGCTGAGTCGGATTTAGTCACTTTCAAAACAATGAGCAACTGGAAGGTCAACCGTGCAGGCGACCACCCTACAATATTGTTCTTTGCTGTGCGCCACCAGATGTTTGCAACAATGGAAGGTGAACATATCAAAGTTTTTCCCCCCAGAGTTGTTCAGTGAGGGTTTGGCATTGCCTTCCTCTAGGGCTGAGGCTAGATCTGCACTGCCATACCACCCAGATTCAGTACTGTCCCCGAGTTACAAACACCCACTTTACAAATGACTCCTAGTTAAGAAAGGGAGTGAGACATCATTCCTTGGGTATGTATTTCCCTGATGAGTCCACGCAATGGGACCTGGCTGGTGCAGAGTTTAGTGCAGGCATGGGCAAACTTGGGCCTTCCTTACAGGTGTTTTGGACTTCAATTCCCACCATTCAAAACAGCCTCAGGCCCCGCTTAAGTGGCTGAGGGGGGAAAGGAAGGGTCCTGAGGCTGTTAGGAATGGTGGGAGTTGAAGTCCTAAACACCTTGAGGTCCTAAGTTTGCCCATGCCTTCTTGAGCACTTCTCAGGAAGGTCCCTCAACAAGTGAGGAGGCTTCCCCACTGCTTGGTCTCCCAATGCACCCAGAAAGGGAAGAAGAAGGCGGCATGCTCAAGCAGCAGCTGCCTCTTTCCCTTCCTTTCCCACTCCATCTCTTGGCCTTTCTCTCTGCCAGTCAAGCCCAATGTATGGCTAGCTCTTAAGCAAATTTCAATGAGGAATACATACGATGGGCTGGTGCAGTCTGGCAAAGGCATGGGCAAACTTGGGGCCCTCCAGGTGTTTTGGACTGCAACTCCAGGTGTTTTGGGCCCTCTAGGTCAGTGGTTCTCAACCTGGGGTCCCCAGATGTTTTGGCCTTCAACTCCCAGAAATCCTAACAGCTGGTAAACTGGCTGGGATTTCTGGGAGTTGTAGGCCAAAACATCTGGAGACCCCAGGTTGAGAACCACTGCTCTAGGTGTTTTGGACGGCAACTCCAGGTGTTTTGGGCCCTCCAGGTGTTTTGGACCACAACTCCAAGAGTTTTGAGCCCTCCAGGTGTTTTGGACTTCAACTCCAGGAGTTTTGGGCCCTCCAGGTGTTTTGGACGGCAACTCCAGGTGTTTGGGCCTCCAGATGTTTTGGACTGCAACTCCAGGTGTTTGGGGCCCTCTAGGTGTTTTGGGCTGCAACTCCAGGTGTTTTGGGCTGCAATTCCAGGTGTTTTGGGCCCTCCAGGTGTTTTGGACTGCAACTCCAGGTGTTTGGGCCCTCCAGATGTTTGGACTGCAACTCCAGGTGTTTGGGACCCTCTAGTTGTTTTGGACTGCAACTCCAGGTGTTTGGGGCCCTCCAGGTGTTTTGGACTGCAACTCCCACCATTCCTAACAGCCTCAGGCCCCTTCCTTTCCCCCCTCAGCTGCTTAAGCTTTGCCCATGCCTGCTTGAGCACTTCTCTGGGAGGTCTCCCATCCAGTGGAGAGGCTTTCCCCCTCCTTGGTCTCCCACTGCGCCCAGAAAGGGAAGAAGCAGGCGGCGCGCTCGAGCAGCAGCTGCCCCTTTCCCCTTCCCTTCCCTTCTCACTCACCCCATCTCTTGGCCTTTCTCTCCACCAGCCAAGCCCAATGTGGGCCAGCTCTTAAGCGAATTTCAATGAGGAATCCATATGATGGGAACCTGGCTGGTGCAGAGTTTGGCACAGGCATGGGCGAACTTGGGGGCATCCAGGTGTTTTGGAATGCAACTCCAGTTGTTTTGGCTCTTCCAGGTATTTTGGACTGCAACTCCCACCATTCCTAACAGTGTCAGGCTCCTTCTTTTCCCCCTCAGCCGCTTAGATATTTCCCCCTCAGCAGCTTAAGCGGCTAAGGGGGGAAAGGAAAGGGCCTGAGGCTGTTGGGAATGGTGGGAGTTGCAGTCCAAAACACCTGGAGGGCCCAGGTTTGCCCATGCCTGCTTGAGCACTTCTCAGGGAGGTCTCCCATCCAGTGGAGAGGCTTCCCCTCTCCTTGGTCTCCCACTGCGCCCAGAAAAGGAAGAAGAAGGCGGCGTGCTGGAGCAGCAGCTGCCCCTTTCCCCTTCCCTTCCCACTCCCCCCATCTTTTGGCCCTTCTCTCCGCCAGCCAAGCCCAATGTCATGGCCAGTTCAACGAGGAATCCACACGATGGGAACCTGGCAGGTGAGGGGGGAAAGGAAGGGGCCTGAGGCTCTTAGGAATGGTGGGAGCTGCAGTCCAAAACACCTGGAAGGCTCAAGTTGGGGACCTGGCTGATGCAGTCTGGCACAGGCATGGGCGAACTTGGGCCCTCCAAGTATTTTGGACTGCAGCTCCCACCATTCCTAACAGCCCCAGGTCCCTTCCTCCCCCCTCCCCCCCCCAGCCACAGTCCAAAACACCTGGAGGAGAAGCCCAAGTTTGCCCATCAAGTGGAGAGGCTTCCCCACTGCTTAGTCTCCCAATGCGCCCGGAAAGGGAAGAAGCAGGCGGCGAGCTCGAGCAGCAGCTGCCCCTTTCCCCTTCCCTTCCCTTCTCAGTCCCCCCATCTCTTGGCCCTTCTCTCCGCCAGCCAAGCCCAATGTATGGCCAGTTCAACGAGGAATCCACACGATGGGAACCTGGCAGGTGCTTAAGCAGCTGTGGGGGGAAAGGAAGGGGCCTGAGGTTGTTAGGAACGGTGGGAGTTGAAGTCCAAAACACCTGGAGGGCCCAGGTTTGCCCATGCCTGCTTGACCACTTCTCAGGGAGGTCTCCCACCAAGTGGAGAGGCTTCCCCACTGCTTAGTCTCCCACTCCGCCCAGAAAGGGAAGAAGCAGGCGGCGAGCTCGAGCAGAACTGGCCCCTTTCCCTTCCCTTCCCTCTCCCCCCCCCCATCTCTTGGCCCTTCTCTCTGCCAGCCAAGCCCAATGTATGGCCAGTTCAACGAGGAATCCACACGATGGGAACCTGGCAGGTGCTTAAGCAGCTGTGGGGGGAAAGGAAGGAGCCTGAGGTTGTTAGGAACGGTGGGTGTTGCAGTCCAAAACACCTGGAAGGACCAAGTTTGCCCATGCCTGCTTGAGCACTTCTCAGGGAGGTCTCCCACCAAGTGGAGAGGCTTCCCCACTGCTTAGTCTCCCACTCCGCCCAGAAAGGGAAGAAGCAGGCGGTGTGCGCGACCAGCAGCTGGACCTTTCCCTTTCCCGTTCCTTTCCCGACTCACTCACCCCATCTCCCGGTTCTTCTCTCCTCCGGGCAATCCCGCCTGCAGGGCCGGGGGCGAGAGAGCGCTGGACAGCGGCGGGGTCTCTCCTCCGCCTCGCTCTCCCCCTCCTCCTCCTCCGGCAGGGAAAGGCGGGCGAGTCCCCACTTCGCACATCTCTTCGGGTGGAAAAGGGGACCTCCGGGTTGCCTTTCAGGGGCTTTTACATAAGAGCCGGTCCGGAGGAGAAGGCTCTCTCCTTGGCTAGCGGACTCTTCTCCTTCTTCTCCTTCTTCGCTGGGGAGCCAGCTCTGGACGAGGAGGAGGAGGAGCAAGAGGAGGCTTCAGGTCTCAACATGCCCCACCTCTCTCTCTCTCTCTCTCTCTGCCTCCCTCCCACTTCTCTCTCTCTCTCTCTCTCTCTCTCTGTGATGTTCTCCATCTTTCTCCCGCGCCGGCGCCCGCTGCTGCTGCTGCTGCTGATCAGACTCAGAGGCGGAAGGGGGTGTGGCTTGAGCAAAAGGCCCCGCCCCCGGCCCCCAGGCCGGGCCCCGCCCCCTCCCCTCCCCTTCTTTGGCAGCTGGACCCACGTGCGTTCCATAAAAGGTATGGCATCCCCTCCCCAAAATGCATGCACCCTTCACGTCTTATTCTGAATCTCTTCTTTGCATTTCCCCCAAATTACATGCACCCTGCACATCTTCTCATTCTGAAGATATGCTTTGCATTCCCTCCAATTGCATGCACCCTGCACTTCTCATTCTGAAGATATGTTTTGCATTTCCCCAAAATTGTATGCACCCTGCACATCTTCTCACTCTGAATTCCTCCCAAATTGCATGCACCCTGCACATTTTATCATTCTGAATATATGTTTTGCATTCCCTCCAGTTGCATGCACCATGCACATCTTCTCATTCTAAATATGTTTTTTATTCCCCCAAATTGCATGCACCCTGCACATCTTCTCATTCTGAATCTATGCTTTGCATTCCCTCCAATTGCATGCACCATGCACATCTTCTCATTCTAAATTTATGTTTTGCATTTCCTCAAAATTGTATGCACCCTGCACATCTTCTCATTCTGAAGATATGTTTTGCATTTCCCCCAAATTGCATGCACCCTGCACATCTTCTCATTCTGAAGATATGTTTTAAATTCCCTCTGTAGAGAAATGTTTATTATAAAGTGTTTATTATACTGTGTTTAAACTGTATTTATGTTTTACATTGGTGGCCATGGCCTAGCTGTGAGAGATAGGTTGCCATGGTGACAAGGCAGAAGAGGAGGTGGGCGGAGCTTAAGGAGAAAAAGGTTTGAAAGTGACAGTTAATTTTCAGTCAGGAGGATGAGACCCTGAGAAGAGGAGCGGAGTCAGTTAGGGCTCTGTGTGGTGAAGCAGTGTAAATTCAGTTAGTTCTTAGCATTTGTGAATATTTCTTCAGCAAGGGAGCTGAAGGTGAAACCTCGTTAGATTGCTTGTGTTAAAAAGAATCTAAAAAAGGGGGTTTTAGGGATCCCAGTAGTGAAAGACTGGAGATCAGTGGTTTGATCCGGTATAGGACAAACAGAGTGAATATTCACAACAGGGAACACTGAAATAATAAAGCACTTCACTGAAGAAAGAGTTTTAAAGGATTGTAACATCAGAAGCCTGAATGTATCTCAACCAAGCCATATTGTAACCATCAAGCTTGTGCCAAGTTCAACATCTTAATATTGCAACAATTACGCTCTGTTAACAATAAACTTGTTCTCTTTGTATTTTAAACCTGCCTCCTCCATTGATTTTACGTTTGGTGCAGTCCACTCTACCAAAGTTACCTCACAACGCAGATAGGGATAAACAGAGACTTTAATACCAGCGTCTCTATATATAATGGTGGCAGTATAATCTAGCAGTCTCGGAACTTCCTTACAATTTATGGTGGCATTAGGTGGATTAACATACGTCCTTACATAATTTTGGTGGTCCCATTTAGGTGGGATTACGCGTCTTTACACCTCCAATTGCATGAACCCTTCACCTTTTATCATTCTGAGTATATGTTTTGCACCCACCCATACACACAAATTGCATGCACACATCACATCTCATTCCAGAGATTTATTTTGCATCTCCCCACCCCACATTGTATGCATCCTTCACATCTTCCCATTCTAAGTATAAGTTTTGCATTCCCCCAATGCATGCACCCTTCACATTTAATCATACCATGTATGATTTTACAGCAGTGTTTCTTCACCTTCCTAATTCCACAACCCGTTAATTCAGTCCCTCATGTTGTGGTGACCCCCCAACCATTAAATTATTTTTGTTGCTACTTCATAACTGCAATTTTGCTACTGTTATGAATCATAATGTAAATATCTGATATGCAGGATGTATTTTCATTCACCAAATTTGGCACAAGTACACGATATGCCCAAATATGAATAGGGTTTGGTGGGCATTGATTTTGTCATTTGGGAGTTGTAGTTGCTGGGATTTATAGTTCACCTACAATCAAAGAGCATTCTGAACCCCACCAATGATGGAATTAAACCAAACTTGGCACACAGAACTCCCATGACCAACAGAAAATACTGGAAGGGTTTGGTGGGCACTGACCTTGAGTTTTGGATTTGTAGTTCACCTACATCCAGAGAGCACTGTGAACTTACAATGATGGATCTGGACCAAACTTGGCACAACTCAATATGCCCAAATGTGAACACTGGTGGACTTTGGGAAATAGACCTTGACATTTGGGAGTTGTAGTTGCTGGGATTTATAATTCACCTACCCTCAAAGAGCATTCTGAACTCCACCAATGATGGAATTGGGACAAACTTGCCATGCAGAACCCCCATGACCAACAGAAAATACTTTGGCGACCCCTCTGACACCCCCTCGTGACCCCCCCAGGGATCCCAACCCATAGGTTGAGAAACACTGTTCTGGAGATATATTTTGCACACACCCCCTCCCCTCACACACAATCGTCTGCATCCTTTATATCTTATTATTCTGGTTATATGTTTTGCAACCCCCCTCCCTCAATTTCATACACATTTCACATTGTCATTCTGGAAATATATTTTGCAACCCCCCAAAATGCATGCCCCCTTCACATCTTATTATTCTGGACATATATTTGGACACCCCCCTCCCCCCACACACAATTGTAGGCATCTTATCATCTTATCCTTCACATCTTATAATTCCTTATATTTTGCACATCTCTCCCAATTGCATGCACCCTTCGCATCTTATTATTCTAGGTATATGTTTTGCACACACACACACACACACACACCCTCCGCGGGAGCAACGTCCCAAAATAACACGACGCCACTCGCTTTCTCCCCCTTAATTGTATGCACCTTTCACATTTTATTCTGGAAATATATATTTTCCATACACACACACTCCAAATGCATGTACCCTTCACATCTTATCCTTCCAAATATATATATATTGCATTCCCCGCTCCCCCACCCCTTAGATGCATGTACCCTTCACATCTTATTCTGGAGACATATTTTGCATCCCTTCCAAATGCATGCATCCTTCGCATCATTCTGAATATATGTTTTGCACACGCATACACACAAAAAACACACACACCAATGCATGTACACTTCACAGTTTATGATTCTGGGTATGTATTTTGTATCTTCCCAAATGCAGGGATCTTTCACAGGATTCAAGATCCTGATTCTTGTGAAATGGGAAGAGACTTTTCACATGAGGTTTCCAACTTTGGTCAATGGCAACAGCACTTGGCAGGGTCTGCCCTTGGAACCCTTGGCATCAAATGGCCCTTTATAAGGTGGAATATGTTGCTCCCATTAAGGCTTCATTATCACATACATTCTTCAAGGTAAATGTGGTTTTTCATTGCCTCCAAATCATGAAAGATCAACACAGTGTTTGTTTATGTTGTATTAATTTTTACTCAAAGAAATAAAGTAACCGTTGTGCAAGAAATGAAAAAAAGGCATATACAAAGAAACAAATTACACCAAACAAAAGGGCCATATATCTTCCCCACGAAAACATTTTTTTCTTAATATAAAACACTAACTTATAACAACTAACAAAATGCAGCGTCCTTCTGCAGCTACCACAAGCTGATATGTTTTCCAGCTGGATGAATAAAATTACCTCGGTAGCTTATCCTTTGACTTGGTAAGATTTCTTTATTGGGAACATTGGGTTAGCTTCTTCGTCTCACCAGGTGCATGGACCTAGATGGTGGTACTTGGGTATGCCTATTTATTTTCCATCTTCATCACTATGATACTTCATCTTGTTCATGGGAAGCTTCCCACTGGAGTGGAAATCATCTATCGGACAGATGGCAAGCTTTAACCTCAGCAGACTGAAAGCCAAAACCAAGGTTACAACAACATCTGTTATAGAACTCCAATATGCTGATGACAACGTCATCTGTGCACATTCAGAAGAAGATCTACAAGCCACTCTAAACACCTTCGCAGAAGCATACGTGAAGCTTGGCCTGTCATTGAACATCGAGAAAACCAAAGTGCTGTTCCAGCAGTCACCAGCCATCCCCTCCCCAATGCCAGAGATACAACTTAATGGTGTAACATTAGAAAATGTTGGCCATTTCCGCTACCTTGGCAGCCACCTCTCCACCAAAGTCAACATCGATACCGAAATACAACACCACCTGAGCTCTGCGAGCACAGCATTTTTCCGAATGGAGCAGAGAGTGTTTGAGGACCGGGACATCCGTAGGGATGCCAAGGTGCTTGTTTATAAAGCTATTGTCCTCCCAATCCTGCTATACGCCTGCGAGATGTGGACTGTCTACAGACATCACATGCAACTCCTGGAACGATTCCATCAGCGCTGCCTCCGGAAAATCCTGCAAATCTCTTGGGAAGACAAGCGGACAAACGTCAGCGTGCTGGAAGAAGCAAAGACCACCAGCATTGAAGCGATGGTCCTCCGCCATCAACTCCGCTGGACCGCCAACTATGTCCGGATGCCCGACCACCGTCTCCCAAAGCAGTTGCTCTACTCCGAACTCAAGAACGGAAAACGGAATGTTGGTGGGACAGGAAAAGAGATTTAAAGATGGGCTCAAAGCCAACCTTAAAAACTCTGGCAGAGACACTGAGAACTGGGAAGCCCTGGCCCTTGAGCGCTCCAGCTGGAGGTCAGCTGTGACCAGCAGTGCTGCAGAATTTGAAGAGGCACAAATGGAGGGTGAAAGAGAGAAACGTGCCAAGAGGAAGGCACGTCAAGCCAACCCCGACCGGGACCGCCTTCCAGCTGGAAACCCATGCCCTCACTGCAGGAGACGATGCAGATCAAGAATAGGGCTCCACAGCCACCTACAGACTCACAAGAATTCTGATCTTGGAAGACGATCCTACTCGGCCAACGAGGGATCGTCTAAGTG